CTCAACTTTAAAATAGGCATACAGGGTGGGGCAAAATTACTGGTGCACTAAATTTTCAATGGCATTTTGACAATAATTCTCACAAATCAATTCTAATTATCAATATTATTTACTACAAACATGACAATACAAAAAATGTTAATGCTTCTCAAAATGATCTCCTTTAGCCTTCACACAGTCCTTCAGACGTTCGACAAATGCTTCGCATGTGGCACGCAGGTACTGGTCATCGATTTCGTCCCAAGATTTTGAAAGCGCCGCCTTAAGAGTCCAAGTTTGGATGTCTGGTAGAACACGCTTTGCTCTCCAAGATGGACCACACAGAGTAATCCATCGGGTTTAGATCAGGAGAACTGGAGGGCCATTCGTCGTGTCTGATGAAGTCGGGCAGGTGCTCGGCGCACCACTCCTGGACCATCTTTGCTTTGTGTGCTGGAGCAGAATCCTGCTGGAAGCACCAGTAGGCTTCTCCGAAATGGGAGTTGGCCCACGGCTTGAGAACTTCCTCCAGGATATTTTTGTAAACCTCTGCGTTGATTTTCCCCGTAGAGGTGACTCCTCCCCAAACAAGAATGGACTGGGGGTTTCGCTCTTTCCTGGAGTCTTGCCTTGGTGGTAGCATCAGCAAGTGATCCTGCAATAATCCTCTCATTTTGGGAGTTGAAGGCTGGATTCAGAGTAAAAATCTTTTCATCACTGAAAACGATGTCTCGGGCGCGTGCCACCGTGAATCGCTGCAGCAACTTCTTGCATCTCTCCAATCTCCTTTTCTTCATAATGTCCGTCAGGAGTTGGCATTTCTGCAAGCGATAGGGGAACTTCCTTAGCTTACTTCTGACAATCCTCCTCATTGACCTCGCGCTTACTCCAACGTCTTTCGCCATCTGGCGCATCGATCTCCTGGCGTTCCTTCGAATTCTTTCTCTGACGAGCCTCACATTTCTCCGACTCGTAGCTGTTGTGGGACGTCCTCTTCCTTCCCTGTCCTCTTCGGTCTTCAGTTCTTTATAGCGTCGTACTGTATTCTGAACCGTCCTTCGAGGTACGGAAAGGATCTTCACAATTTCTCTTGTTTGCTTGCCGTCGTTGTGAAGTTTGATGATCGCGCTCCGTAGGTCAGAACGACGGACCATTTTGTATTCGAGTACGTAGGAATTACGCAACCTCCAGGCAACATATCACAAGCGAGTGAAACAGGAAAATCTCCAAGAAGTGTTAAAAAATTCAAAACGTATAGGTGCACCAGTAATTTTGCCCCACCCTGTATACCTACAATCATTTCCAGACAAAGACTTCGTCGTATGCATCTTGGGAGAAGAGTTTTCGCAGAATTCATAGGTGGCTGTATACTTATGCGGAATGTAGTGTAGTGTATGTATGTATGTATGTATGTATGTATGTATGTATGTATGTATGTATGTATGTATGTATGTATGTATGTATGTATGTATGTATGTATGTATGTATGTATGTGTGTCCGTCCGCAAAATGAAGTGAGTGAGAAGGAAGCTCATGGGATAAACAAACCGCTAACAAAATCGGGTAGCTCGCAGGACTTTGAGCTATCAATGTTTTGTAGTGGGATAATTGTGAAAACACCCCTACAGCTATACAAACACCTACTGACGAGGAAAGGTCACCAGGCCGGTCCGGCCATTTGCAATGAGGTGTATACCTATGCATTCGTCTTGAGACGATAAGCTAGAAACCGCTTTTCTTATCTGCTAAACGGTGCTCTGAACGGAGTTACGGAAGTTTTCCCCTCAACACTGTACTTAAACGCAGTATATGAGCGCTATCATTGGAGTCGCCACTATAAGCCAAGCGGGAAGGCGCACGTCGTGGTTGACGTGGCGTAAGTGGTAACGCTCCAGGCTTGTAGGCGAGAGGTCATGGGATCGGTCTCTCGTGGTGTTTTTTGCCTTTTTGAAAACATGACCAGAAAGGCTTTTAGCGACAGTATCTCCTCAATTCCTGCCTTTACCTGCCTGTGTAAGGAGTTAGGGAGC